GGTGGGGGGGGGGGGGGGGGGGGGGGGGGGGGGGGGGGGGGGGTAATACGACGATGGCGGTTAGCCGCGTACGCGAAATGACCTGTCTTATTTGGCAGTGGACCCTTTGGGCATTCGGACGCCCGGGCGAGCACGTACCTTCACCCGTTCGCGTTAAAGTACCGTCCCTCGATTAATCTCGGCCGTGGATAGTTAACGAATGGAGGAGTCCGAAGTGACGAATCGGCCTCAAGACCGATGCAAACGGACGCGAGAGCCTCGAACGAGGCAGCGATCACGCAAGAAAGTCGCGGGCGCGCGCTTCGCCCGATTAGATCGCGCATTGCGCAAGCGGGGATTACCAGCGGCCGATCGAGATTGGCACTTGTCCAGGCGAGGTAAGAGTCAAAAGAGCTCCGGAGGTGCACTCGCGTGGAAGCGCGAGAGGGCAAGTGAAAGTCTAGCGCTCCCAGGACGAGGTGCCGCGGTGGGAGCCGCGTGGCGGTCGGGCGGGGGAGGGGCAGTAGTAGGTTGCGCAGCTGCGTGTGTATTCATCGCTGCTTGGCGGAACGTCGGGCCAAAAGGAAAAAATATCCACCCATTGGCTTCGGGACTTTCACGGAAATGTTATTAATGCGTGGAACGAGCGCCGCTGCGCAAAATTATCTCGAGCGACGAGTTCCGCTAAGAGGATCCTCCGGCAGCTCCGTCGGCTTTACGAGCTTACCTACGTTGTGCGTTCTCTATTGCGCCTCGCGTATGTATATTATTAATATACATTACGGGGGACGGCATTAGACATACACCTACATTGGCGAGCGAGGCGACGCTCCAGGTAGGTAGATAGGTAGGCAGCCAGGCAGGTCAAGCAGCCAGGCATACCATTCCCCAAGTCAATGCCGATTGTTGCACCTCTCATATTTCAACGGTACGCGAATTTCTCTTTATGCACGGGTCTCCCATTGATGCTTAATGGGCGCGATTTGAAGAAGATCGTTTGCTTTTCGAGGTCTCCTCCTCGACAAGGCGAGTCACAATGGCGAAGCTTGCGGCAACATTGCGTCACAATGGAGCCTCGATACGCCGCTGCTCCTAAAGATTTGATTTATGCGATAAAAGCGAGACAATACCGCCATTTCTCCATCTGCTTATAAAGAAGAGCATCGATCACGTATATTTGTATAATAATTACCCGCGCGATCGATCACGAGTACTCGATTCGCGGGAAAGTTACATATCTCTCTCTCTCTCTCTCTCTCTCTCTCTCTCTCTCTCTCTCTCTCTCTCTATCTATCTCTCTCTCTATCTATCTATCTATCTCTCATCTCGTCAGGTGATTCCTCGAACGCGTCGCTATGCCTTCGGCGTGTGAACGGGAACTCGCGTATTGGATGAGAGTCGCCGTCGACGGCTGCGCGATGTCAAGGATAATACTCGACGACTGGCTAACCTGGGACGCTCGATTACATTAGGCTGTTTACATTAATTGGCAATATCGATCAAAATTAACCACAAAACAGCGTGCTTTCTAATATTGGCGATGGCGCGCTCACGCGTCCTTTACGTATTTCGGGGGTTCCAAGCGCGAGGAGCCACTCGCCACTTGACCGCCGTAAAATTGGCAACAATTGCAACTACAACGACGACAATAGCAACAACAAAAATAACGACGACAACGACAACAGCAACAACGACGACGACGACGACGACGACGACGACGACGACAATGACAATGATAATTAATAACAACAACGAGAAACAACGATAAGTAGCGATCGTGCGAGCGCACGAGACAAAGATGTACATACAGCATCGTGTTATTTACATTTCGTTTGGACCACCCACTAGTACGACGATCCAGCTCATTGGAAACTCGCTCGCTTTGGGATTTATACTTTAAGAGCGAGTGCCATTCGTGGACAAGACTTTGTCAATCTGGCCTATCATATATTTCAATAACATTACATACTGTGACTAATTCTATTTCCTGGCGCATGTTGGTGAAATCCGGGAGAAACGCCGGGAGTTTATTTCGAGGGAAGCCGAGCCGTTATATCAAAGCAAAATATTAGCGCCCGCGCGCCACACGCACGCGCCCTCACGTACGCAAGTGCACAAAGTCAGCGTCGTCACATAAGCCGGAATCGCTGCGCCTTACGGTAATGCCAAACAACATCAACCAAGCAACTAACTGATCCACAGCAAGAAAGATAGCTAGCTATTAATTAATTATAAATAATAGAGCTGCTATGAAAATTTTATGTAAACGAGGACATTCGGCACATCGTCGCCTCCATCTCTTCCTTCTCCATTATATCGCTCGGGTAAGAAATTTTACTACTCGCGAAAGAATGCCGTCTCGAATGCAGACTCGAATCAAACAATTGACGCCACAGAAGGAAAATAGCCTTAAAACAAAGCCGCGTGCGAATCGAAAATATAATGCAGACATTTTATTAGCAGCTACAAACAATAAACTACTTCGAATTGTATTGTCAATGGCGCCTGGCCCACTATAAGGGTAATGGAAATTAGTCATTAGCATAACTGGAAATTACTTGGACCCAACGACGGCCCCTTATACCTTCCGTTCCGTTATACCCTAGCTCCCCTATGTATGTAACGTTGTTGTTTTTTTTTTTGTTTTGTTTTTTTATTTTTTTGATTTTTTGATTTTTTTTGATTTTTTTTGATTTTTTGTTTTATTTTCCTCCTCGACAGCATAACTCACAAACAAATGGCACTGGCGCGCTAAAAATTTGCAGCGATATTCCCTCGTAATCTGATTAAGCTTAAGCATATAAAACCGAATCTTTTCTCGGTATTGAATAAAATATCTTGATAATTCGGCTTTTTATGTAGAATAATTGTGCCTCGTCAACAAATAAATGGCCCAAATAAATTTTAATAAATGACAAAATATGTTCACCGTTATAAGTGGCGTGGCCTTGGTATTCGCATTTATTGTAAAGTTTGGCCGGCCATTTAACCGCAGCACCTCCCTCGAATTCGTAATTTAAAATGATATAATAATTGCACTGGACAGTATTTTCAGTCCTTTTGGGTACTTCCATAAAGCAATTAAATAAATTAATAAAATAAAAAAAGACCAAAAGAAACAAAACAAAAAAAAAAAAAAAAAAAAAAAAAAAAAAAAAAAAAAAGAATCATAAATATTAATTTTAAAGCCATATACATTCCAACTTTTCAACTATTACGTTAGTCAATGTGCAAATTTATAGAAAAACAAAAAAAAAAAAACAAAAAAAAAACAGAACAACAAATAAAAAAAGATAAGCAATAACTGTCACACGCTTACTTGCAAGTACGCTATTTTCATGTTCACGATCGTTATAATTAATGTTAAACAAAGAAACGAAACGGTTCGGTGCATAGAACTTTACGAATTACTAGATGAGCAATTGCAATATGGTTAACGGGGTTGAGTGATTAATTAATAATCGGAAAACGCTGCTGAATAAGTCGAAAAAAAGTGAAATTAAATTACGTTACAATTGCTCTTGGTTAATTGGCTTATATTAGCTGTAATATAGTGGCTCCGAGATTTCTTCATTCCCATTGGAGGAAGGGGGACGTCAGTCGTGTGCTTTCATCCTACACCGTATCTCCGAGACTTGCCCAAATTAGAGTCGACAAACTCATTTTCTTTACTTTGATATTTATTATTCGTAAACAACGTTGGCCCAACGTAGTAGTACCGAAGCATGTTTTTTTTCTCTCTCTCTCTCTCTCTCTTTCTTTAGACTTTCCAGCAAGCAGTCGAGTGCTCGTTAAGTATATAATTCTCGTACTTTATTTATTTATAACGATCCACAAAAGCCTTCCCCGGGGCACTTCGAATTTATATGTACTTATGTAATAATACAGCTTATAAAGCTGTTACTGCCGGAGTACTAAAGGGTAATGAGTTGGGTGATTGATAAAGAATAAGACTAAGTATGTTTTGCCGAGAATGTATCGTTGTTATTCGTTCACTGCCGCTCTTTTGACATTTTATATCTGACAATTTGTCTATTTACAATAGTATTGATATAATGATACAATAATATTAATTAATCATAATTGTACACGGCCACTACAAATATACAGATTTGCATCTTTCTTTACAAAACGGTATAATCTACGAAGTCTTTACAATGCGTTTTCCTATAAAATAATGCGCAAATAAATTGGGACACGGGAAGAGATAATTTGTAGGGAGAAAGAGAAGAGGACCTTGGTGAAAAAAAATAAATAAAATAAAATGAAAAATAATAATAAATAAATAAATAAAAAAAAAAGCGTTCGATTGTTCTTTATTTCCTGGTAGTGAAAAAAAAATAAATAAAACGAAAATAATGAATACGTACATGATGATAAAGAAGAATAAGTTGAAGAAAAAAAATTACAATCGTTCGTCAATGGATATTTTTTTTAACCAAGGTCCATAGTTATGTAGGATATCAGAAAAAAATGGATGATGTACAATGGGAAAAGATGTAAG